GACATTTTTGCGTTTCTGGGAGTATCCCTTCCCCCCCAGTGAAGATAACCTCATGCCCCTCAGGCCCTCCAGGAGTTGCAGCATCAGTGTCCCAGCACAGGCAGCTGTCCAGAGAGCGCCGGGCAGCACAGGTAGAAGCAGCTTCTCCACCTGTGCTCACAAAGAGCACCCCGGGTGGACCGGGACCTGCAGGTCCCGGCAGGCAGTGGAGGATCCTCGGCCAGTGTCTCTCCATCCCCATGTGTAGCCTAACCTGGAGCCCATGGCACCACAGCCCTGAGTCCAGGGGTTCTTGGAAAAGAGTGGGAGGGAGGGGAGAGTTTAACAGGAAGAGGTGTATCTAGGGCCATCAAGAAAGACAAAGAGTGGCATCTTGGAGGGAATGGGATATGGTCTTTTCCTCCAAAGTATAGCTCTCCTGCAGGTCTAGATCAGTGAACTTGGGCTTCCTCTTGGCTGTACTCGAGTACTCGGGTCCACACAAGTCCCTACCAGGTCCTGGGGTACAGAACAAGCCTTCCCTGGAAGTCCGCTCTGTCTTTGAGTCACGGCTGGTGGAACATTTCTGCAGTCTCCAGCCTACAGCCCTCAGGCTGACCTCAGGAGACCGAGGGGTCTCCCATGTTCTCTCTCCAAAGACACTCATTTCTTAAACAGAAATACCCCATAACTTTTTTTTTTAAAGATTTATTTTTTATGCATACAGTATTGGGGTACTGGCTAGAGGTGCAGGGGCGGTGAGAGGCTTCACCAGAGACAGAGTGAGGAGCAGAACAGGCAGATTGACAAAGTACACTGCTGAGGGGGCGGGTCAGGAGAGGTCTGCCACACCATGCGGGTCAGCTCCCTGGGCCGGGATCGAACTTGTGCCGCAGTGGCTTCGGAGAGCTTCATAATGTGGTGCTTTAACCCGTTGAGCCACCAGGGACAGCCCCCCCCCCCCCCCCCCCGCCGTAACTTTTTTGAATATAGATTCTAGGCCCTACAACCTGCAAAGTGAGACGCGGGTCCCAGAGGCCAGATGGACAAGTACACTGCTGAGGGGAGCAGCAGCCAGGTCAGAAGAGGTCTGCCCCCCTGGCCAGGGATCAAACTCAGACTGAAGCTGCCTGGGTTAGCTGCTCTTGAATTTGTTGTGCCACCAGGGAGAGCCCCGACAAACTTTCCTGCGCTGGGCATAGGATCCACACTTACCCAGCCCTGACCTCTGGATGTGGCTGTCCAAACCCAAACTCTCCCCCACACAATGGTTAAACATGGGCACAGCCTTCCCAACTTTGTTCTGAGAACAGAGATTAGAGATAAGAGAGAGAGCACAGCTCTTCCCGTCAGCGCGAGCTCAGCCTTAGTGCGAGAGCCTCATCGAGCTGACCACTCGAGAGGGGAGGCTCCGGTTCATAGTCCCAGCTTTTTATCAGTGACTCACTCCTTGGTGTACTGGGGAGTGGCAACTTCAGGGAGCCACAGCCACCTGCCTGTCTGGCCCTCTAGTGTCTCCCCACTTTCTCCTGCAGGGCCAGCAGTAATTTGTGTTTGGAGTCAGTCCTAACCTAGGTGACTCCTTGGGCAATCATGTGACCGTCAAGACCCAGCCTGAGTGGTCATTACTGAGAAATAGTGGCTCAAGACGTCACAGTTTAATTTGTTTCAATTTCAAGCGTGGAGCATGGGGGTGCTGGAGCTGAGGTGGTGGGCCTCTGCCCAGGACTTGGGCGTCTGGCTTGGGTGACTGGGAGGACAGTGTGCCATTCACCAAAACAGAGGATGCAGGAGGCAGAGCAGGTCTGGTGAAAATAGCGTTCAATTTAGGGTGTGTCCTGGGAGGTGCTGGTCGGCCACCCAAGTGGAGGCCCAGTGAGTTGAACACAGGGTCCAGTGCAGCAGGGTGCAGCAACTCTTCCAAATCCCATCTGAACCAGGGATCGGGTTGGGGCAATTGGAGGCCCCTGGGGAGCCAGAAGAACCAGAGCCCCACGGAGCCCTGACAGAGAAGAGCAGCGGGAACTCCAGGAAAGGAGAATGAGAACAGCCAAAGACACAGCAGTGACGCCAGGAGAGGTATTTTAAAAGCCAGCAGAGGGCAATTTCAAGGAGGAAGTGGCCCGCAAGGCCAAAGACTGAGATCACCAGTAAAAGCAGACCGGAAATACCCTCTGGATGTGACCATGTGGAGAAAAGCAGCTGTAGTGGGGGCACTGAGGGTGGGTCCAGAGAGCAGGACTGTGGGTGAGAGGACTCGATGCTATCACTAGGGTTGAGGAGGGGAGTGGGTGTGTAACTCTGAGTGGACTCAGTGCAGGAGGGGGGAGCGCGCCGAGGTGGGAAGAGGGGAGTTGCTGAGCCCCGAGTGGAGCCTATGGGTCACCGGGAAAACTGAAGGAGCCGTTTTCCTCTGTGAAGGAGGTAGAACCATCTGCTGAGGGGTAGTTGGGAGGTGGAGGGAAGGAGTTGAGGGGAGAGGGGAAAGGCAGGAATAGTCGGCGAGGGGACGGAGAATAAGCTAAGGAGAAAAGGCTACACTGCACCGTGTGCCAAATGGCCTCGTGAGGCAGTGGCCGGGTGCTCTCCTTGCCAGCTGATACCACAGGAGACTGGAGGGAGGCTGGGCAGTGGCAGTGGCTAGCAGCAGACCAGCTCCAAGCCAGAGTGGGAAGTCAGCGTGAAAGAACAGAGAAAAGGCAGGTTGCGGGATGCTTGGGAGTCAGGTGAAAGGTGGACAGGGAGGTCCAATACTACTGGACTGTGAACAGTGGGGTGTGCCACACAGGAGGGGAGGTGAAAGCCCTCAGGAATGAGGCCAGAGGGAAAACATGCAGGAATCAAATCAACTTATTCACAGAGCAAGATGTGCTCCAAAGGCAGGCATTGGGGGGTGGAGAGGACAAGAGACAGGAGGACAGGAAGATGGAAGGCGGGACCGTACCAGAATCCTCAGTGAGCAAGGAGGTAGGAGAGCACAGGAAATCGAAAACCTGACTGTCAGACGCACGAGGTCAGCCGGAGCTCTCCAGGGACACCCGGCCTCGCCTGGCTCCTTTCCCTGAGGCAAGCTTGCCGTACCTGCGAATCCTAAGTGCCTCAGTCTGACATTTATGTAGGCTCCTGGATGTGAGCGTGAAGCCAGTGCCAAGGGGAAAGGCATGGGGTAGGAGTGAAAACACAAAACATCACCTGGCACTTTCCTCCCACGTACGCACCCATTTGGCATGTCAAGAATGAGGTTGGTTTGGTGTCTGGAAACACGCAAGGCCCTAGCACTGTCAGAGGCAAGTTCTCTAAATGTGTTCGTCCACCCATCCACCACCCCATCTGAAATGCACCCCAAGGTGTGCAGAGGAGGTGCCCGATCCCCAGTCAGGGCCCATCTTCACCCCACGCCGCCCTTGGCCCAGACCTGACCACTCAATCCCATTTAAGAATAGTTCAATCTTAACAGTTTTGGTGAAACATCAGGAAAAAAAAAAGATAAATCACACACTTCTCAGAAATTGGAATTTTATAAAAAGGCATTTTCTCTTATATCCATAAAATGATATAATTTTTGCAAGTATAGAAATGTGTCATAAATTATACAGAATGTTCCTTAATTACAGCTCAATGCAACTTGGTACTTTCCTCCCTCCCTAAAAAATGAGAGAGAACCCAAAAAATAATATATATATAACTGT